GAAAGAAGTGTGTCTTCTACAACAAAACAAGAAAATTAGTGAGTCGTGTGACGTTGGTTTGTGCAAATACCGGGAATGCCTGGCTGACGAGTAGGCAGCTGGGTTCCCTGTGCTCAGTCTGCAGTGGCCGTCATTTTGGTCCAGCTAAAGGAGGAATACTGGTGTCTCAGATCACACTGTAGAAACTGGAGTTCTAAGAAGGGGGCTGGGCACTCCCATCTCTCAGCTGGAGAAACTGAGGCATGGATCCTTCTGTGACTTGCCGTTTAACCCCGGGCTCCCCTGGAGGAAAGACCAGCCCTCCCACCCTGCCCCAGTCCTTGAGTAGCCAAGGGCTGAGCGGCTCGCTGGCCTAAGGCCTAAGGAGGAAACCCAGGGGACAGGCTCGGCCGCTGGCTGCCGGCTGTTAACACCCACAGCTGAGTCTGAGAAATGCGATAGTGCGGGCCCTGGCCTCCCTGTCCCCACACTCCTGGGAGGAACCCTGTTCCCAGAAGTCTGTCCTGGACGCAGCCGTCAACCTCGGAGTTCATTTCCTGGTTAAACAAACATCGGTGTTAAACGGCCCAGTTGGGCCCCACCCAGAAGCAGCCTCTGTGGAGAGCCTGGGCACAGGGCCTGCCAGGCCTCCTCCTCGGCTGTCTGGCAGGACACATCCATCATTGGCCGTCATGGCAGCAGGACTGCTCGCGCGGCCCGCCCAGAGTCTGCCCGTCTGGCAGGAGGGGCCGGGGGACGTGCAGAGTGGCCCATGCTGGACCCTACCAGACGTCTGTGCCTGCTGGCAGTGTGACAGTGATAGCGCCGAGAGTTTGGGGAGGACGTGGCCACTGCCATCCGTCCTCTTCTCTTATCCCTGGGGGCGTGGACACTCACTTTGTTTTGCAGTTGAAGAAATTCAGGCACCTGAGAGAGCTTGCCATAGTCCCCTGTGAAGTTCTCTTTGCACCTTTGTGGCCAGTGACCTGAGGGACAGGAATTAGGAAGAGCTGAGCCCAGAGGGGCTGATCCAGGCCTTCCTGAAGGGCTGGACACCCATGGGTCCTGCAGTGCAGATGGAGAACAGGTGTTTCTTAACATGACGGCCTCCATCAGCCGTGAGCACAGGTGCCACGTGAGTGCACACCGTGTGCCACCTGCCCTGCTCTGGGCTTGATCCTGGATCTTGGCTCTGCCCCTTAGGAACAGTGACCTTGGGCAAAGGCTAGGACTTAACTGGGCCTTGGTTCCCTCCTCTGTGAAATGACTGTAGTACTACAGGTTGAGTGTCCAGTCCCTGAAATGGTTGGGCCCAGAGCTGTGTCAGGCCTTGGAGATTTTCCATTTTCGGAATATTTGCAGACTTTGTTGGTTGAGCAGTCCTAATCTGGAAACACAAAATGGTCTGGGTTGCAGAGTTTGCTGACTGCCAACATGGTGCTCTCAAAGTTTCAGATTTCAGAGCATCTCAGAATGGGGGCAGTCAACCTGTGAAACCTACCTCAGAAGTCGTTGGGTAGATCAAGTGAAAAGGTACCTGTGAGAGTTCGGAGCCCACGTAGCCATGTGTTAAGTGCTCAGTCCACGCCAGCCAGTGTTGTATTAAGCAGGTGGTAGCCCTGTTTGCAGAACAGGATTATAGGATAGACTAGGATGGGAGAGGTGCACCCAGGACTTCTGACCCCTGAGGTCTGGCTCTCAACACCATCCCGTATGGCGTGGGAACAGTCAGAGGCACCTGGGCGGCTGGAGGTCATCTTGACTCCTTCCCTCATTGTATGGGGAGGAGAAGCTGAACTTCAGCTCTTGCTGCCTTTGTCGCTTCCCTCCAGAATGATTCTGTTTACGGAAGCTTGGCCGCAGGGTTTCTTAACCATGGAGGCCTGTTCTGGCAGAATCTGGTTCCTTTGCAAGCGTTTCTTCATATGGGGAATGCTGCTGGAGCGCCCGTGCTCGGGGGCTGGGGGGGAGCAAGCACCCCTCACCCCCAGACCCCCATCCTCACTGCGGGGTCAGCTGTGCTGTGGTGTCCTTGACCTGAGTTGTGCTCCGTTAGTGAGAAAACACTGTTGGTGAGAAACGAGGAAGACCAGCAGAGCGAGGGAGCTCCTCCGTGTATTGCTTGCCGAGTGCCAGACCTCATTCCATTGGTTTTCTCGAATGTCCATTGGCCAGTTGTTGTGTGTAACGGTAGTTTTGGGGATGGCAGGTGCTCAGGAGTAACATTCCACAAGGTGCAGGGAGGGCAGTGGTCTCCTCCCCCAGGAGGACACGGCAGGGCTAGGGCAGGAGCCGTGGATACTGTTCATTTTCCTACGGTCCATGGAACAGCTTCTCCGGCAAAAATGATTAGAGTCCCAGGAGTGCACGGAGGACGTGACCTCTGAGCAGGGACCTGAAAAGGCAGAAGCTGTGGGGAAGAGTATTGCAGGAAGGGGCCATCCCACAAGTCAGTGAGGCATGCGTGCGCTCCCTGGGCTGTCCACCATGTTTCCATGGAGCAGATGGAGACCAGGAAACAGTGGCTGCTGAAGCTCGGACGGGGAGACCTCAGGGGAGCCGGGGTTTGAGCTTTGCTGTGCCTGTTTCCTGGTCCGTTTGCTTCCACTGCCTTGGATGCTACGGCTGGGGGCATGGGGCAGCATTCGCTTTGCAGTGGAGGCCTTTTCTCTACTTGCCTCTGCAATTTTTGTTAAAAATTCCACCCCTGGATCAGTCGATTGCAAACTGCTTTTAGGCTTGAGCTGCTTGAGGCCAGTGAGAAGTTATCTAGTGTGAAGTTCAGAAATCAGGCTCCTCGTATGGACGTGGTCAAGCAGAGACAGCCATAGACTTTGTAGAAGGTGATCCCATGCACAGTTCATTAGAAAGCATTGTCCCCTGGTTTGGACGGTGGGTGTAGCAATAGAATTCTCCTACCAAGGAGGTGTGAACTTAGACCTGGCAGGCTAACTGCTGGGTCGCTATTAACAGTTGTCAGGCTTAGAGCTTGCATGATCCTTTGGTATTTCTGTGTGTATCTTACAAGATACTCTGTAGCATTACATTTCTAGTGTTAAGAATTGTGCTTGCCACAGGGTTTCTTGTAAAGTATCCTCCTGTTTTAAATCATTTGAAGCAAGCTAAATAGTCTTTCCTGATTATATCATCAGCTAGATGACCTTTTTGATACAGCTTCAATTAAATAATAGTTCTTATGACTAAAAAAGCAAATGAAAAAATTCTGTCCATGGATATGTGGTTCTGTTCCTGGCACCACCTCAAAAGCCAAATTAGCAGCAATCATGATAGCCAGCGTCTCTGTAGCATTTATCCTGTGTTGAGCGCTGTTTCAGGCGGTATATGTATTAGATTCAAATCTCTGTCTTTCTCTGTGATGTGAAGACATATTGGGGCCGGCACTGTGGCACACAGGTTAGGCCGCCACCTGCAGCACCAGCATCCCTTATGAGCACTGGTTTTTGAGTCCCAGCTGCTCCACTTCCTATCCAACTCTCTGTTAATGTGCTTGGGAAACAGCAGAAGAGGGCCCAAGTACCTGGGGCCTTGAACCCACATGGGAGACCTGGAAGAGGCTCTTGGCTTCATTCTGGCCCAGTCCTGCTCATCGCGGCCATTTGGGAAGTGAACCAGTGGATGGAAGATCTCTTTCTTTGCCTCTGCGTCTTTCTCTCTGTAACTCTGCCTTTCAAATAAATACATAAATCTTTAAAAAAATTTATTAACTTATTTTCATTTTATTTGAAAGGCAGAGATAAACAGAAAAAGCTCCCGGATACTGGTTCAACTACCAAATACCCACAACAGCCAGGGCTGGGCTAGGGCAAATACGAGAGCCCAGGGACTCCACCTGGGTCTTCCACCTGGGTGGCAGTAACCCAAAGACTTGAGTCATCACTAGCCTCCCAGGTGTGCATTGGAAGGAAGCTGGGTCAGAAACAAAGGTGCCCAGGACTTAAACTCCAGTCTGGGAAATGGGACTCCCAGGCAGCAGCCTGACTACTACATCAAATTCCCCCACCTTCCTTGAGAGAAAGAGAGAGAGTGAGCAAGCATTCCCATCCACTAGTTCACTTCCCAAGTTGCTAACAGCTAGGGCTGGGCTGGGGCTGAAGCTGGGAGCTGAAGAACTCAATCCATGTCTCCAGTGTGGTGACAGGAACCCTGTCCTTTGAGCCATCACTGCTGCCCCCCAGGGTCTGAATTAGCCGGAAGCTGAAGTCTGTATCCTCAGCTGTGAATCAGACCCAGGTACTCTGGTGTGGAATTGGGCATCTCCGTTGGGCTCACATGGGTTACACAGCTCACCTTCCAGGGCCAGCCTGCTTGCCAGTGTCCCTGAATGCAAAGAACATTGACTCGTCATTCATCCACTCATTCATTCTTTCAGTCAACAAAGGAGAACCATGCACTGAGCACTGGTCCCTGTCCTTCCCTGTCCCCCATGGGAGACATGGGCACCTCACGGCAGTGATTGATCGTAAGAGCAGGTGCTCAGAAATGATGCCTAACCCAGCTGCTCACGGGCAGGGGTCAGGAGAGGCTGCTTGGTGGAGGTGGTCTTAAAAGGATGATGGGCAGTTAGCCAAGCAGAGGAGAAAGGACCCCAAGGGAACAGCCTGTGCCAAAGCCAGAGGAAAACTCCATCATTCAGAGAAGAAGCACGGGTTGTTCAAGATCGCCAGGGCTGTGGATGGGAGGCGAAAGGCACACCATGTTGTTAGGGGCCATTAATTGAGCAGTGACTGTATGTAGGGCCACCACGCTGGGCATGAGCTCAGCAGTCCGCTGAATTAGTTGCTGTTAATACCCACATGATTAGGTAGAGAAACCCAGGGCGTGGAGGTTAAGTTCTTGTGGAAGATCCCACAGGACTGGGTGCCAGGGAACGGGCTGAGAAACACTTGCAGCTTGCCCTGGGCAGCGTGGCAGTCACTTCTGCATCTGTGCCCAGGAGCCACAGTCTCCCTTCTGCCCCTGTCCGTGCCCGCCCCTTGTGACTGCTCTGTTTCCTTCCGCAGGTGGAAGGACAGTCCAGAGCTCTTGTCATCGCACAGGAACTGCTGTCTTCAGAGAAAGCGTGAGTCCCCAGGCAGCTGCCTGTGGCCTTGAGCTTGTTAAAAACCTCTCCCCGTCCTGGGCTTGTACAGGATGGGAGCTAACAGAGACGCGCTTTCCCTCTGCAGATACGTGGAGATGCTCCAGCACTTGCATCTGGTGAGTTCATCATTTTAATTGTCCAAAAACTAATTGCCCTTTTACAAGACTGTGATATAAGAGGCAGAAAAGCAGTGAGGAGACAGAGGTGATTTCCATCAGCGGAGGCTTGGCAGCCAGCAAGCTCTCACTGAGGCTGTTCGGGGAAGTCTGTCTCCTGATTCATGGGCTTCAGCCGGCAGAGAGCACCGGGCTTTCAGTGGGGCGTGCCCCTGCTGGCTGCAGGGGTGGGTGGGCAGGGACTGGCTGAGGTTTCTGGAAGGATGTTGGAGGTTTCCTCAGCCCTCTTGGTGGACAGGGGGTGGTTCCAGGCATTGCCAAGTGTGCAAGTCCATGTGTGCATGTGTTACACTCGGAAAGAATGATGTGTTTGCCCAGCGACGGGGCAGCCATGGGAATTGGGAGCTTTCTTGGTCCTCCTGGCATGGGGGCAGTAATTCCTAGCCATCCTTGGGCCTTGAAGGGGAGTGGGGGCCAGATTGGGGACCACGTGGAGGTCAGGCACTGACACCGACACGGCCCACAGGACTGCAGTGAGGTCGACAGGCATGTCTCCCAACCCTGGCTGTGTGAGAAGAGCTGGGGAAACAGCGCCTACTGGGCCCTTGCCCAGGACCGCTCTGGCCAGAGATGGGACAGATGCAGGAGCAGATCCTTATTCTGAGCACAGCGAGTGACCCCCAGCGTTGGAGTACGTGGGCAGGCTTCCCCGAGGAGGTGGCCTGGGGGCCTGGGTTCAGGCTGAGTCGCGGAGAGGGGTGAGGGAAGTGGGCCCGGGGTTCCCCCTGCCACCCTGCACTCTCCCAACCACTCGCAGACTCACCAGGGTGAGTGTTTGACTTGGTGCTGCTTTGTATCGTTCTCCTGGGTTGCCAGTGCCTACCTGGACTGGGGTACCGATATGGAGACCCAGAGCAGGCGACCCAGCCGGCATCATACTGGCTGTCATGGCACCCCGGTCCCCTGGCTCTCAGTCCACTGTTGTGAGTTACTTGTGTGCCCCCAGCTGTCTTTGGAGGGCCTCAGGGCAGGGCCGTCTGTAGGAGCCCCAGAGCTCCCTGGCACCTGTCAGCAACAGGTGTCACATCCCTGGTAGCTCATCCCTGGGAGGAGGCATACACACTCCCGCCTGGCACATGCAGCCGCTCATCTCTGCACTTCTGGGGAGAGCTTTGTGCGCTGTTAACCCACAGCCCTCGGGTACGAAATGCACCCCACCCCCGCCTTACACCAGGAGACCCATTTAGCAAGGGCAGGCAGCACCCATTCTTCTCCTCTCATTCCCGGGCTGGCAGCACCACAGAGGCTGGATGTTGGGTTTTGTTTTATGGCTCTATTAAGAGCATTTTAACCGGGACACATCCGTCTGTGTTTGCTTCCTGCCAGCTGGAAAGGCACGGAGGGCACTGGCCCTCCGTAATAAGCTCCCAGGGAGGAGGGGAAGGAGAGGGAGCCAGAAACTCAGAGCTGTGAGCTGGCTGTGGGATGGTGTGGTCAGCCACAGAGGCGTCGTGTCAGTGTCTATGGGGACAGCGTGGCAAAGGCCCTCGGTGCGGCTCCAAGCCCTGCCTGGAGACGCTGCCTTCAGGAAGAGCCCTGGCTGTGGGCCACACTCCTCCACCCCAGCCATGGACTCGATGCCATTGAACTCCCATGGCTGGATCCTGACAGAGAAGGGCCGGTCGCGCGTCCTGAAGCCCCCCACCCAGAAGGCCCTAGCACCAGTGTGCTCCTGCCAGTGGCTGAGGTGCTGGCTCCAGGCCTTGCTGCTTGGGGTTCCTCTCTGTAGACAGAACTCACTCCAATGCTACTGGTGCTGGGTGTCCCAACTGAGTCCTGTGGATCAGCATCCTGTTTTTGTGCAGCCTATTGACAGAACAGGTATTAGGTTTTTAACTGTTTGTGGAAAACTGCAAAGTAAGTAAGTGACTAAGACCGTAAGTAACATTGTATTTTCTGGCCCCTCAAACAGAAAGCTTGCTGACTTCCGGCTTAAAAGCTCCTGTCCACCATTCTGGAAACCCAGCCCTAAAAGGGTTCATCCACCTGCCCATCTGTCAGCCTCTTGCCCACCTGCAGTTGTTCACACCCCACCTTTGCTGCCCAGGTGCCTGCCCATTCACCCACCCGCCTGTCCCTTCATCTGTGCGTCCAGCCCACTCCCCCGTTTGCTCTGGGGACTGTCCAGGATGTTGATGTTGCCATGGTAATAGACTTCTGGAGTCCCACAAAGAAAGGGCCAGAGCCCACCCTTTAAAAAAAAGAAAAAGAAAAAGAAAAAAGATTTATTTATTTATTTGAAAGTCAGAGTTACAGAGAGAGAGAGAGAATCTTCCATCCACTGGTTCACTCCCCAGATGGCTGCAATGGCCGGAGCTGGGCAAATCCAAAGCCAAGCCAGGAGCTTCTTCTGGGTTTCTCACTTGGGTGCAGGGGCCCAAGGAATTTGGCCATCTTCCACTGCTTTCCCAGACTGTAGCAGAGAGATGAATCAGAAGTATAGCACTAGGACTTGAACTGGCGCCCATATGGGATGCCAGCACTGCAGGCGGAGGCTTAGCCTACTACGCCACAGTGCTGGCCCCCGAGAGCCCACTCTTGAGTAGGCTTTCCTTTGGGAAAGGAGGGAGTGTGTGGGTGGGGAAGGAAGACAGACGTCTGGAAAGACCCGTGTGCTGCTCTGTAGTTCGTACAGCCACAGAGGAATGGGAGAGAGGCAGCAACTGACTCTGCGTTGGGGTCTTCCCTGAAATTTGTGGGTGTCCCATCAAGACAACCTTGGAAGGGGTGTGATAGGGGAGGCCCAGAAGGCAGGGCGTGGCGGAAGCCACCACTCAGAGGCCTCGAGGTGCGGAGAGTGGAGCATCATCACTTAGGTCAGAAGTGGAATCAGGGCCATGTGAGGGGTCCAAAAGCCACGTCGGGACCAGACTGAGAGTCTGAGGGCCTAAGCGTGAGCCAGGGCCTGTCCTCATGCGTAGAGACGAGTGGAGGCCTCTGGACCTCAGTCCTCTGTTCTCTCCCGAATCCCTGTCCTTCCTACCCGGGGCCCTGCAGCATGAGGGCGTCAAAGGGCTGTGGAGAAGTCAGTCTGCTGCGTGCAAGAGCAAACTTGAGATTGTCCCTGGGGCCAGCGCCGTGGCGTAGCGGGTAAAGCCGCTGTCTCAAGTGTCAGCATCCCATATGGGTGCCAGTTCGTGTCCCTGCTACTCCACTTCCCATCCAGCTCCCTGCAAATGGCCTGGGAAAAGCAGCAGAAGGCCCAAGTGCAAGGGCCCCTGCCACCCACATGGAAGGCCTGGAAGAAGCTCCTGGCTCCTGGTTTCGGCCTGGCCCATTTGTGGAGTGAACCAGCGGATGTAAGATCTCTGTGTGTATCTCCATCCCTCTCTGTGACTCTGACTTTCAAATGAATAAATCTTTAAAAAAGAGAAACTTCTCCCTGGCGGGTGCCGCAGCAGAAAGTCCCTTATGCGGAGGCTGCGGGGTCCGGTCCCTGCCTGTGTCCGCGTTCCCTCCTCACTCGCTGCAGCCACGGGGCCTCCTTGCTGTCCTTTGGATCACAGGTGCACTCGTGTCTCTGCTCTGGTGCCTGCTCCTCCCTGCTGGAATGTCCTGCTCCTGGTTTCTCTAGGCCAGTTCTTTCTTCAGGGCTCAGGTGCCACCTCTTCCAGCAGGTGCTGCCCCGAAACCTGGCGGTGCCACACGGCCGTCATGCTAGGCTTCCTGGTTCTCTGCTCCGTGAATGTAGACAGGGCGTGGTGGGAGGAGCTTGTCTCTGCGATACCTTGAGCCCTACCTGGAGGACCCAGCGATGAGCGAGAACTTGAGTGTGAGGGGCAGGGCTCCCCCGGAGACATCTGCACTCACACTGCCAGTGGTTGAAGCTGGCTGAAGCGGGAACTCAGCCAGGCTGTCAAGCAGAACACTCCCCTGTGGCCGTCTGCGTGGGCGGGGCTGGGTGTGGGCCCTCTGTGTGGGCGGGGCTGGGTGTGGGCCCTCTGTGTGGGCGGGGCTGGGTGTGGGACCTCTGTGTGGGCGGGTCTGGGTGTAGCCCCTCTGTGTGGGCGGGTCTGGGTGTGGGCCCTCTGTGTGGGCAGGTCTGGGTGTGGCTCCTCTGTGTGGGTGGGTCTGGGTGTAGCCCCTCTGTGTGGGTGGGGCTGGGTGTGGGCCCTCTGTGTGGGTGGGGCTGAGTGTGGGCCCTCTGTGTGGGCAGGTCTGGGTTTGGGCCCTCTTCATGGGTGGGTCTGGGTGTAGCCCCTCTGTGTGGGCAAGTCTGGGTGTGGCCCAGCTGCATGGGTGGGTCTGGGTGTAGCCCCTCTGTGTGGGTGGGTCTGGGTGTGGGCCCTCTGTGTGGGCAGGTCTGGGTGTGGCTCCTCTGTGTGGGTGAGTCTGGGTGTGGCCCAGCTGCATGGGTGGGTCTGGGTGTAGCCCCTCTGTGTGGGTGGGTCTGGGTGTGGGCCCTCTGTGTGGGCAGGTCTGGGTGTGGGCACTCTTCATAGGTGGGTCTGGGTGTAGCCCCTCTGTGTGGGTGGGTCTGGGTGTGGGCCCTCTGTGTGGGCAGGTCTGGGTGTGGGCACTCTTCATGGGTGGGTCTGGGTGTAGCCCGTCCGCATGGGTGGGTCTGGGTGTGGGCCCTCTTCATGGGTGGGTCTGGGTGTGGCCGCTCTGTGTGGGTGGGTCTGGGTGTGGGCCCTCTGTGTGGGCGGGGCTGGGTGTGGCCCCTCTGCGTGTTCAGGTCCGGGCCCCCTTGCAGCAAGGTGCCGGCTACCCAGCAGCAGGAGGAAGCGCTGTGGTGGCACAGCCTCTGCAGTCGGGCCGTGCGGTGTCTACCACGCTGTGTCCGCCGTTCAGCAGGACGAGAGTCAGGCTCACATTGTCCCAGGACCCTGTGAGGTGGGAGGTGCTGCTGTGGTTCTGAAAGACGTGTCTACTGCAGAAGCCCTCCTGGTGATTCTGTCAGCTGAGTGTATGTGCAGGCTGGTAACAAAAGCTCAACT